TATACAATGGTTCACATGATATCTAACGAATTAGCACCCCACATTGAGGTTACAGACTTTTTATTATGTTTAGGCAAGTAAGGTTACATAGGTTAGGTTTAGGAAAACAAACATGGTGACAACATACCTCAAAGTAAATAGATTAAGATCACTTGGTTTCACACAGTTCCAAACACCGGTCTCTTGGGGATAGTCCTGTGCTTTGTGACCCATCCACCACCCAAAACTTCCTCCTTAGGCAGAGTACTTCCTCATTTACTCCTGTCAGCACATTGGTCACATGATGACTGCCTTACTGATTTCATGGGTTACATACAATTTGTGGTACATTACTTTTCAGGTAAAAAATGCAATTTGCCATCTTGCAACTACTGTTTACTTCTGATGTGCATTGTGCAACATCCTCTGTTGATGATGCAGTCTTAATTAAAATGGTTCCACACCTCAGTTGCTCAGAACTGGTGGAAATGGGAGCTGGTTCACTAGATAGCACCAAAGGTCCAAAAATCCTGAGCGTAAGTGGCTCAAGAACCAGAGGTCATTCAGTGGAAAAGCGGTATGTATGAATTAACTTTGATTTAATGGTTGTCTTTGACAAATTTTAGAAATGTGCTGAATTTCCACCGGATCATCTGTTGTTTGACGTCCAGTCAGACTAATGGTCATTACATTTGATTTATTGCTTGAATGATCATCAATGTAGCTATTAGAGAATGAAGTATTGCTCAGCTGTCTCACACAGAGAGAAGATTCACAATTCCATTTCCCACATAGCTGACAGAAGTCATCTCCAATATAGTTGGAGTAGACCATAGACAGTAAGAACAAAGGAAGCAAAGAGACCAAACAGAAAATGGAACAGAATGATGGAAGCAAAAAAAGAAGCAAGTTTCTTTCGGTCAGTAGTCTTTGCTTGTGGAGAATAAGGACCAAACACATAGTTAAGATCTATGAATAATTTTTATACACACATGCACTAACTGCATGCGTGGCCAGACCACTTTACCATAAGGGTGCTTGTTTGGGCAGGTGTGAACGCAGCAATCGCACTCAGGGGTGCACCAAAACAACCAAGACCTTCTGGAAGAAATGGTCTCCGTCCAGGTACAAACGAACTCTGATGCAGTTAATTTGTGGTGAGAACGTGTTCCGACCTTAATCCGAACCAACTGCAGTCACATGACACATTGTTCGGGTTAATCTAGTCTCTATATACAGACTCTACATTCAGTGAATGTAGAGTCTATAGGCAAACCCCGGAGATCTTGCTTCTGGAAGAAGAGCGGAAGAGCTCTGGTTTCCAGTTGTAATCTGTTTGTAGTCCGTGTGATATTGACCAATCACGTTTGAGCCTGCTGCTGTTGTTTTCAGGTTAAATGGTCCGTGCGGTGAACTAACGAGGTGGAACATAATTGGCGTCACTGCAAACTCTGAATCCATCACAATGGTTCAGCATATTTACTTATATATAAACGGAAGTCGGAAACGGAAATTCGCCTCCTCTGCCCAAATCATACCGGAATGCCAAAAAATCGGGGGTCTGCCCCCAGAGGCTGTGTAATACAGTCAATGGGTTCCGAGAATGGGGTTAAACATGAGTATGTTACAGTCTTGAAGGATTATTAATGTGCACCTCCTCCTGTACTGCCTTAATATGCACATTCAGCACATCCAATGCAAAACATTGTTTTTTAGTTGGAGCCGCGCCTCGTTTTCAAACTGTATGGTTTGACTAAAATGAACAATGACAGCAATATAGTCCACAATGACCAGCGCTAAAATCAACCTGCATAGTTGTCCCTCCATTGTGACATTAGAAAGTGTCACATGTATCCTGCAAGTGTACTCTTCCTCAATGTTTTGTATACTTCCTGGATTTTTCCCACATGGAAATTCTGACCAATCAAGAGCAGCTTTCTCGTGCAGAGCATTTTATCTGCTCCACTTGTAAATGCTGCTGTGAGAACACGAACCAACTTTAGGCAATTATGCAACTTTGTAACAAAATTAGTCGCTGATTTGGAACAAAGCAAGAAATCTGTAGGTCTGAAAGCACTTTAACAAACCACAAAGAAGCTTGGAGTGCAGCACACACACAGGGAGCATAACCTTCTCTTCTCAGGGCGCCATTACTCCACTTTATCTTTACAAAGCAAATAGTGGTATGCTGCCTGCTATTACTATTCTCAATGTCACATTAACATTACTTTCAGTAATCATTACTTATAAAGATGTCTTTTCAAATAAAGGGAATTATTCACCACAATATTTACATATAGACCTACCAGGTATATTTTTAGGTCAACAGTTTAACCATAAGTGTGATCGCTTCAACTTGCTCATAATTTTGCTTTGTTCCTAAAAAATAAAAAAACCCTTTCCACTGTTCTGTCACGAGTGCAACCTGTTACAGTCACACAGGATAAACATCATTATACTTTCTCACCATATTTGCTGTGATTTACACACACACACACACACACACACACACACACACACACACACGCTAAAAAACCATCCAGGGTTTCAATGTGAAGAATTTATTGAGTCTTTTTGCCATCTCACAGAGATATGGTTTTATATTAATACAATGGTATTACCTTAATGAAGTAAGAAATTGCAGGTTCAGTTCAAGAAGCAGATTATTCAGAAACGAAAGCAGAAAAAAATTACAAATACAAATTTTGGACATCATAATGAGATATTCCAGCAAAAAGATGTACATACATATAAATAAATAAATCAAAGCAATAAATAGAAAAATGTAAAGGGGTTACATTTTAAAGGTAAAGGGACAGCACAGAGTCCTTCAAAGTACGATTTAGGTTGATGTGAATTTTATGTAGCACTTTAGTCATAAATATAAAGAATAATGCATACAAATGAAACTGAGAGACAAACTATTCTAGATTCCTCTTAAGGCCAAAACATATTTGTGCTACTTTTCAAGAAAATCTACACACAAATTATTGACAGATGTTGGGTTAAAATTTTTTATAATGAAGATGTTGTTTGTTAAAAATGAATAGGAAAGTGTGTTGTCCCAAAAAAGTCATCCCAACGAATTGAAAATGACAAACCCTAGGAGTGTATGTACAACATAATGATAAGGCAATACAAATAAAATTTGCGCTGAGAAAACAAATGTGAAATCTAAAACATTACAGTAGCACATTTTTACACTTCACAACATTAACAACACCTTCTCTCTTACATCTTTAATCAATCAGCAGTGCTTTGTATGAAAGTCACAACTAACAGAAAACTTGTCTCCTATAATTATGTTCATCTACAACTATTCTGCATCAGGGAAATATGATTAAATGTAATAATGCAATGCAGATTATGCTCATCATCATCATATCAGACAGAGCTGAATGTATATTATCTACAAATTATTCAGTGTTACGATATCTTGTTATGGTATGTTGAATAGCAAGAAATGAAGGCTGTTATTCAAAAATGTCTTGCTTAGATTGGACGGCAAAGACAGATGTTTCTGTTTTCAAATGATACATGTGTTACTAGGTGAGATGCAGTTTCACTGTTCAGTACTCTGTGTATATGTATTCACTTGGCTGTGATGGATGCTAATGTTAGCGTTTTCTGAAAAGCGCACTAAATGCACGAAACAGTGGCAACAAACAGATTCAGGAGCGTTTTCATACTCAGTTCTCTGTCATGTTTGGGATATAGTAGGTGTTTTAAGTTTTTCCCATCTTATGCCATTTCTCTCCATTAAAATACAAAAAAAAGTTACATAAAACACAATTCTACAGATAAAATAATAAATAAATAACATACATTCTATGCTTGCCCTTTTGCAAAACAATTACAATCTGTATGTTTTAAAGAGTAGTTGACAGCAGGTTTGATGACTATAAACTTGATAAGGCAAAGCAGCTTTGTTAAACGTGAAGTATTTCATCTTATCTGTTCCCATATACAACCCATTTACGCAACAACTCCAAGTGTTTCTTGATACATGTTTGAAAAGCGTCATGATATAAGCCAGCGTTTTCTTGCATATAATTGACACAAAATACATGAAAAGCTGTCCTAACTCTGTGGATGTACAGAAGTGTGTATTAAAGTGTTGATGAAGATTGTCTGTTTTAATGGATTTTTTTCACACCTGTAGTGACAGGTGGTAATGAATGGACACATGTAAATGAAATTGTTTCATGCAAAATGAAACAAGAAATGTCTCATGTGGAGGCAGCAGGCTGGCAGATAGTCCTCTGAGGATTCTTTACAGCTATATCCCCAAATAAACTGGCATGGACTGCATTGTGTAAGTGCAACAAAACTGGATTTAGTAATTCAAGAGCAGAAAAAATTATGTCTTTTAAAGGTAAGATTCATCAAATAGAGATATCTTAAACCAGCATGCTAACCACCAAGCACCGGCCCGTCCTGTCTTGTAACACCACTTACTCCTTGAGAGGCGATGGTGAGTCACTGCTCTCTGTCTGCTCTCAGTCCAACATTAGGAGGAAGTAAGGCTGCAGCCCCATAGATTTATCTTACTATATTATGACGAAAACTCTGTCTGTGTGTAGGTGTGCCTGTGTGTCTGTTCCACATTTTTCTCCTCACTGACTTGGTCAGTCCATGTGAAATTTGGCACAGTGGTAGAGGGTCATGGGAGGATGCGAATGAAGCAATATTACATCAATTGGCCAAAGGGGGGCACTATAGCAACCGATTGAAATTGCAAACTCTGACTCGTAGAGACATGAAACTTTGCACAGAGATGCCTCTCCTCATGAGGAACAACTTTGCATCAAGAACCCATAACTTCCAGTTATATAGATTTTCCGCCATTTTGAGTTTTTTGAAAAACACTTAAAATCGATCTCTTCCTAGGAAGTTTGACCGATCTGCATGAAACTCGGTGAACATAATCTAGGGACCAATATCTAAAGTTCCCTCTTGGCAAAAGTTGGAAAACTTACTAAAACTGAGCTTCTATAGGGCAATGAATATTGCAGAGGGCGTAGCTCATCACATAAAGGCGTATAACATCTCAAGGGTTTCACCAATCACCACACAACTTTGTAGGCATAGGACCTCACATAATCTCTAATAATATCTAGGCCTAACCGCCATATGGATTTTTACTAAACTTGGTAGATATGTAGAACAGGACGCCTCAAGGTGACTGGAGAAATTTAACTCTAATTGGCAACTGGGTGGCGTTATAACAACAGAAAAATGCTTAAAAATGGCTAAAATGCTACCGATTGCTGTGGCTGCCCCTGTGGCTATTTAGAGAAACGTATCTTTACTGCAACTAATGTCGATATATGGTTATGATGTTTTTTTGCTGAAACTGAGTTAACCAAGCTATAACATAAACTATAGGCCTACGCCAAATGAAGATTATAAGACAGCAGTGATACTTTGACTGGCTCTCAGAGTTTGTTTGCTCGAACTGTGCGTGTTCTTGCTTTGCTGTTAGTTAGTAGTGGTAGTTAGCTGTTTTTTTTTTTTTTAATAACTGATGACTGTAAATTGAGATTGTATGGACCCAGTAGTAGACTGATGAAATGCTGCCCCCTATTTCTATGCAGCATATGGCCAGGCATTACACATTGCACCTTTACAGAAGGAATGCCACTAATTGCCACTGCCTGGGCTACTGTCATGGTGTAATGTGCTTTAGTTTTCACATGAAACAGACAGGGCATTATTAAAATTAATGATGTTGCATGTATGAAATTTACTAAAGTCTAGTGTTTAGTTTCAAAAAAGCAGATGTTGATTTTTTTTTTTAATCAAAACTTTTTGGCAGATTTAAAGAGGAAGCCCAATTTTTATTACACATCAAAGTGTGTTTTGGGTCAAAAAAGAGTTGTATAAAGCTTTTTATAGAAAAATCCCTTTAAAACTTTTTTTCCAATATTTGAAAGGTTTGATTAATAGAGTGGTGTGGGGGTGATGTATTTTTGGAGGCCAGCGTGCAAGTAAGCATCACCTTGGTTTCCTCATCCAGAAACCAGTGGGATTTTTCCGCTGCAGAAAATAAGGTCAGTGACAAACGTTTATATTTACAAGTTTTTGCTCAGCAAAATAATCTACACGAATGAACACAGCTTTTATGATTTCTGAGGTGTAAATGCAATCACCAGAAGTAAAAAGCTAACATTACTTTATAAACAAACTACACCACAATAACATGACTTAACTTTGTCATAAAGCTGTGGTCTGCATGATAACGTTCTTTAGTGCTATTTAGCCACATGTTAGCATCCACTGTTTTTAAAGGCTTCAAAATTCAAAAGAGAGGCATTCATGGACTTATTTTATGTCGTACAACAAAATGTCTCTTAAGCTTGTGTTAATTACAGACCTTATTTTAGGTATCTAGCACGAAAACCAAGAAAAACATTCACTTCAAGATGAGAGAACAACCTGAGTCAGCATCAGCGGACAATTTCGTTAATGAAAAAAATCTGCGGGTCCTACCAGACCTCTGCAGCTTGTCCTTGTCTCTGATTGAGGGTAGCAGCTCAAGGCCACATTAGCCACTCCTACCATGACACGCCCAAACCTCCAACCAAACTGGCAGGTTTTGCTGCATAGATTTTGACTTTTTCTTTTTAACTGTCGATCTTGCAACCGACAATGTAATAGGAGTGCAACGCTATATGAGTGGAGTGCTCCTTTTAAGGAAAACACTGCTGTTTGTTTGGGGGTAAGGCTGAGCAGAGCTAATGCTACTTTGAGATAAAAGTTATCTTTGAAACAAACTGTCATATGGTTTTGGGTTATGTGGTGTTAAGCACTACACAAGCACACATAAGCAGAAAACATTTACAGAAAAACTGTGCACAAATAATTATGAGATACTACATGGGTACCCAGCAAATACCAGGTATACTTCATATTGCATGAAACCAGAGGGTGAACCATTGTTTGCTGCAAGTTGCTTCTTACTAACACACACAGAACTCTGGGTGCATGCATCATTATCTGTGGACACTTGTATATCATGTGCCTGACATGTAGGGAAATATGCTTTTGTTATTGTTGTAAGTTAGATGACAAAATCAATACTACTTTTGCATCTGTGTTTTAACTATGGAGCTGAAGCTTGGAGTTGATTAGCTTAGCTTAGCGTAGCATAAAAGAGTGTAATTCCTGAAACGAAAAAATATATTCCTTTAATTTTGTGGTGTTATTTTGACTCCAACAACAATGAAAATAGCATAGGGCTACAGTTTTTGTATAAAGAACACTTTACGTCCAAGTGATGAAAACAAAGTAAATACATATAATCTGATCTAATCTTTTCAAATTGAATATGTGTAGTGTGTGAAACTTGTACCTTTTGGTCTGTTATATTCACAGATGTCACATCAAGCCAAGAAATAACTTGGAAGTTGAGGCAAAATAGGTGGAAACAGACAGTAAAAAGTGGAAACTGGGACATGAACCTTTGCTCAGATTCATTTCAGAATGACAGATAAGAAACTCATCTTCCCATGTTTATCAAACTCTTGCATCCTGGAGGATTGCAGTGGTCCTGAAAATAGGCAGATGAAAATGTTTTGTAACTGTGCTGTTGCCTATGAGTAACAGCCCAGCCACAGATTTGTGGGCGTTTGACAACCTGTCAGAACGCTCCCACTATCCAGTTTTGGTTTGCAAACCAGGGGTTGAGAAACTCTCTAGTTAGCTTCTTATTCCTTAAATATGACACGTAGAAGAGAATCATAAACTGTATTCATTCTAATGTCCACAGCTTAATATAGAGCCATAGGAAGCTACCCAGTACAAATAAAAAATACAAAAAACATAATAAAACAGCAAATCTTCATTGGAACTGGACTCAAAGACCCGTTTGAGTTTAGACCTATAGGAAGAAAAGAAAAAAGATTATTAACCATGGTAAGCATATAAAACATTTTAAAATAACTTCAATTATACAGCACATAATGTACTTCTGCAAAGGCAGCATTACAATCTACATTTATAACTGTTAATATGTTTAAAAGTTTTAACCTGGATGCAGGTGTTCACATGCAAGTTATCATAGGAGAACACCTATATCCTGGAAGTAAAGAGTGCCCCAGGATGCCATTTCTCTGTAGGTCGAAGCCGAAGTTAGCATCACCCTGTTTCCCTTGTCAGAAAGCCTATGGGATTTTTCCATTGGATTTCGGATTATTGCTGAAAATAAACTCTGTGGTGAACAAACGTTACTGATACTTACATGTTTTGTTTAGCAAGATAATCTTAACAAATGAACACTTATTATTTTTGATGCCTAAATGCAGTCACCAGAAGTAAAGCTAATGTTAGACTACAAATGAACTACACTATGCTCACATGACCTAATGTCACCACCATAACAAGACTGTAAAGCCATGTTCAACGCGGCTTGGTGCGATGATGTTCTGTAGTCTTATTTTGCCACTTGTTAGCAACTGCCTCAAAGTTCAGGAGTGGGGTATTTACTGATGTACAGTACAGGCCAAAAGTTTGGACACACCTTCTCATTCAATGCGTTTTCTTTATTTTCATGACTATTTACATTGTAGATTCTCACTGAAGGCATCAAAACTATGAATGAACACATGTGGAGTTATGTACTTAACAAAAAAAGGTGAAATAACTGAAAACATGTTTTATATTCTAGTTTCTTCAAAATAGCCACCCTTTGCTCTGATTACTGCTTTGCACACTCTTGGCATTCTCTCCATGAGCTTCAAGAGGTAGTCACCTGAAATGGTTTCCACTTCACAGGTGTGCCTTATCAGGGTTAATTAGTGGAATTTCTTGCTTTATCAATGGGGTTGGGACCATCAGTTGTGTTGTGCAGAAGTCAGGTTAATACACAGCCGACAGCCCTATTGGACAACTGTTAAAATTCATATTATGGCAAGAACCAATCAGCTAACTAAAGAAAAACGAGTGGCCATCATTACTTTAAGAAATGAAGGTCAGTCAGTCCGGAAAATTGCAAAAACTTTAAATGTGTCCCCAAGTGGAGTCGCAAAAACCATCAAGCGCTACAACGAAACTGGCACACATGAGGACCGACCCAGGAAAGGAAGACCAAGAGTCACCTCTGCTTCTGAGGATAAGTTCATCCGAGTCACCAGCCTCAGAAATCGCAAGTTAACAGCAGCTCAGATCAGAGACCAGATGAATGCCACACAGAGTTCTAGCAGCAGACCCATCTCTAGAACAACTGTTAAGAGGAGACTGCGCCAATCAGGCCTTCATGGTCAAATAGCTGCTAGGAAACCACTGCTAAGGAGAGGCAACAAGCAGAAGAGATTTGTTTGGGCCAAGAAACACAAGGAATGGACATTAGACCAGTGGAAATCTGTGCTTTGGTCTGATGAGTCCAAATTTGAGATCTTTGGTTCCAACCGCCGTGTCTTTGTGAGACGCAGAAAAGGTGAACGGATGGATTCCACATGCCTGGTTCCCACTGTGAAGCATGGAGGAGGAGGTGTGATGGTGTGGGGGTGTTTTGCTGGTGACACTGTTGGGGATTTATTCAAAATTGAAGGCACACTGAACCAGCATGGCTACCACAGCATCCTGCAGCGACATGCCATCCCATCCGGTTTGCGTTTAGTTGGACGATCATTTATTTTTCAACAGGACAATGACCCCAAACACACCTCCAGGCTGTGTAAGGGCTATTTGACCAAGAAGGAGAGTGATGGAGTGCTGCGGCAGATGACCTGGCCTCCACAGTCACCGGACCTGAACCCAATCGAGATGGTTTGGGGTGAGCTGGACCGCAGAGTGAAGGCAAAGGGGCCAACAAGTGCTAAACACCTCTGGGAACTCCTTCAAGACTGTTGGAAAACCATTTCAGGTGACTACCTCTTGAAGCTCATGGAGAGAATGCCAAGAGTGTGCAAAGCAGTAATCAGAGCAAAGGGTGGCTATTTTGAAGAAACTAGAATATAAAACATGTTTTCAGTTATTTCACCTTTTTTTGTTAAGTACATAACTCCACATGTGTTCATTCATAGTTTTGATGCCTTCAGTGAGAATCTACAATGTAAATAGTCATGAAAAGAAAGAAAACGCATTGAATGAGAAGGTGTGTCCAAACTTTTGGCCTGTACTGTACTTTATATCCTAGAACAAAACGTGAATGTCTTTTAACTACTTTAACTAACCACAGACCTTATTTCAGGCATCTAACCAAAAACCCATTGAAAAAATCCATTGACCCCAAGATAAGGGAACCAGGAGTGCAAAAATGCTAATTCATTCTCGGGTTAAAGGCCTCATTCCTGGGCACTCTCTTTGGGCTTCCTACGAGGAGGTACTGTGCAAAAGCCAAACTTATGACCACTTATGGCCAGTTATGGTCATCTAAATATGTCAGTTTGATGCCACGTACAAGTGAAATACCAGCAGAATTTAGCAACACATTCTCACCCTGACCTCATCACAAATTAATGTTTGGTCATGGACTTTCCACATCAAGATATGACATGCAAGGGGGAACTGCCCATTGGTCCGACAGCCCATTGGTTCGACCATACTAAACTCATTGTTCCGAAGTCTGTACCGAAATCATCATGATGCCCTGTGGTTAAGGTCTGGTTAGGTTTAGGCACAAAAACCACTTGGTTAGGGTTAGGAAAAGATCATAGTGTGGGTTAAAATGAAAAAGAAAGTGACAAACACATAAGCTGTGAGCCTGCTCCGCCTCAAGCCGGTCGTGGCGCACCATACGCCCGCCACGAGCCATTCAGCACGCGGACAGTCGGACTAATGGGATGTCGAACCAATGGGCTGTCGAACCAATGACATGGACCCCATGCAAGGTACCCTGGGTGTATTAGTTTATGATGTTCTGGGACACAGTGTAAACTGCTGCCTGTTAAATGCATTGTCTGATTTCAAAATACACTGTTTTCACAGGAAATGTAGAGGTTGCATACAGTCTCTTTCAAAATAAACGCACTACTTCAGTACAACATCACCCATTGACCTTGTTTTCCTTCAACAACAAACACATGATGTTGTGTTTAACCAACAAATGCACATGGTTGGGTTTAGGAAAAAGAACAGGGTTTGGCTTTACAAACTTACAGGAAGTGAACACCGGTCTCCCAGATGAAAGACGAGCATTGTTAAACCCATCAGCCACCCCTCCTGCCCACCCTACTCTGACTTCTGCTGCCTTCGTTGTTGTCCCACTGCATTTTCCCCTGACATGAAAGCATGGCTTTTTTTGTCGATGTCTAATGCCGGAAGTCTCTTTCCAAGTGCTAATTTTTGATGACTTCGGAGTGGGTTGAATTTAGAGCACCCCTTGGAGTTTTTACCAACTTGCTCTCATCCAAGGTCCTCAAATACCGATGCTTTCTCACTTCCCTCGATGTGAAACCTACCTCAAAGGCACTTTTTGGTGTCTCAATGAGACACACCCTAGCATCTGTATGTGATGCACAACTGTCTCCTGGATGAGAGAGTTCTAACACTTGCTTAACATTGACAGAATGGTCACGGCTAAAGTTAGGCAATTAAAATACTTGGTTAGGTTTAGAAAAAAACACAATGTTTTGGGTTAAAATAAGTATTTAAATAGGTTGAGTGAGTGACGTAAGCACATGATGGATGTAAATAATGTAACGTTACATTAAATCAACACTGAGTTTTGGTCTTACACGGGACACCAGCAGCGGTGGTCAGGCTTAAAGGTACATTTGTTTGAGTCATGCACCTATACGCAGACTTCTCACTCTCCACATGACATCACTTGCCCTTAGCTTCAAGTATTGCCACGAATGAGTTTATACTGGAGGTAGCCAAAAAACTGTGTGTGTCATAGGGACAACTTGTGGAAAAACTCCTGCCCTCTGTCTAACATGTAAAAATAATGACTTCAGTGCTGTGATGTTTTGGATACTAGACCTTCATCAGGCAAACAGTTTTGTAACAAAGTTTCCATCAGTCACTTTGCCCACGTGCATTGGAAAGGCATAAATACCAAACATCAATTTATGTGACAATATAAAATATTATACGCAGAGACAGAGGAAAAATAAAGTGACAATCATAAATACACCCAACAATGTTAAAAGGGGAAATTCTTATGAATAAAAAATTGTTCTTATTGTTAAATTGCATTCTCAAAAAATATATACATTCCTAAATCTTGCAGGTTACATTAGAAAATGAACCTGTAGGAATATGTTTGCATGGAAAGTGAGAAAAGCATCAATACAGAAAAAGGAACCTTCGTAACAAACACAACAAGGCCTCCAAAATGCCCCTGAGTAAAAATTACATCAAAATATACAAGACAGTTACAGTACTTCTTGTTATTCTTTCACAGACACCAAAGGTTGCCTACAGCATCAATATAACATGCCAAGGGGCGTAACGAAGCGTTGTTTTTTGACAAACTGGGATGAGAACAGGCTGTTCATACATATTTGTCATGTATGTGTGGTTGCAATCTCAGTTATCTGGGAGTCATAAAAAAAGGCATGTCTACTTTTGTATAAAATTCCATGAAAAGCTTTGTTCCGAATTTATTATGTACCAGGTTTAATAAATATTTGATAATATTTGTGTTACTGGCAGTGACAAGTTTTGCAAAACATTAAAAATGTCATATTGTGTAGATGGAAATTAATGTGGCGTATTTGAAAAGAAATTAGTTAAAACCTTGAATCTCAGGAAAATCTGTTATTTTGCTGAAATGGCTCACTTGTCAGGGGTTATTAGGGGAAACGTAAAGTGTTTAATAAATGGCGACATGGTGGCACTATACAAACCAGAATCTAATGAGTGTTTGCCAAATGTCATTGAATTCTGTTAAGCATTTTTTGAGATATCCTGCCAACACACAGACAGACAAAGAAAGCTGAAAACACAACCTTCTGGACAGAGATGATTGTATATTTTATGTCTCTTCTTCCTAGGCATACAGTGCAGCCTTATTGCATATGTGTATTCTGAAGGCCTTGTTCAAGCTACAGTAAAGCTGATAAACAGTATCAGTCACACAGGGGATTAGTTACACAGAGTGCACCCATCCCACTGCTTCTCTGCTTAATTCCAACTGCAATCATTTGCATGCTGCAGAGTATTTGAAACTTACTGGACATCTTTGGTATGCGGATGGGCCCACTGCTGGTGCCATCACCCCCTTCGGTCAGAGCTTTGATCTCAATGAGGTAGTCCTCTCCAGAGGGGATTTGCAGCTCCACACTGGTCTTATTGGTTTCCAGTATAGTCGTTCTACCATGCCAGGTCTGACGATACATAACCTGGAGGAGAGTGTGGGGGTGAGCATTTCATTCTTCAGTCTTAACAGTCAGAAATTAAAACTTTACGAGCTCTTAACGACGGGATGCAAGGCTTCATTCAACATATTAAAGTGTATGAAAAACAAATCAAAATCCCAAAAGCAGTAGAAGTGTGTTCAACCAAATCCTAGTTACACAGTGGCTCTCTAGAGGAGGTAATGAATTCAAAATGCCTTGTGTGGTGGTGGTTTGACCCAAGGACTCAAAGTGGAAGGGCATATTTTTATAACATGACCTCGGTCATCCTTTTAATAGATTTATTCATGGAATTTAATTTTTATAAAAATTCAGCATAATGTTTTATTTCATACTTCAAAAGAAGTGCCGGGCACAGAGAGCCAAATGGTGAATTTAGTTTTAAAAACACTGCAAAATATGTCAGAAATTTTTACTTTTGATTCACAGTAATGCCTCTGCAAGATTATAAACCCATTCCTGTCCGCACTGCACACCCAAAGAACTTCACAAAAGCCTTATCAAAAACATATCATTAAATAACCAGGGCTGCATAAATATCTTTCTTTGTGTGTGTGAAAAGCATTATCAAAAACCAGTGTTTTTTCCACACAAGTATACAAAGTGGATAAAATGTGATTCACTGTTGTACTGGTTGGAAAAAGCTGAATTCTTTCTGTGGCATGATGCTTTTCATTTTATCACCTGGAACAGATCTTTTAATTTTGAAAGGCCAGACAGGGCCAATCCATAAAGTAACACTGGAGTGCTGAGGTCTATCTTTCCACTGCGATGAGAAAGCCATTTGTTGGGATGACAGCTGCTGAGACTCTATTTGTTTCTCCAGTTCCTGAGTTTCTGCTATTACTCTGACAAACTCACCTTGTATCCTGTCACCTCAGACTCATTTTCCATCGCCTTGACATGTTCCCAATTCAGAAAGATCTTCGAGTTGGTCAGGTTCCACTCAATATTCCCTGGAGGCTGACTTGGAGCTGCAAGATAGCATGTAATTATACAGAGAAGAGGTTCACAGATGAATGCATACGGTAAAGCAATGTCATCAATAGTATTCTCTAAACTAAGTCTGCTGTCAGCCTTGAAGTATTCATCTGCTGCTGCAGCAGAGGTAAAGAAAAAATAGAAATTGCGTATGCTTCATTTATATGAGCGCTAATAATGTTTAAATGAAAAGCACAGAAATATTTACTACATATTTCAGTGAACAGCTGCAGTGGTTGAGAATTGTGTTGGCTTTTCTTTTATGTAGCCAGATCATAAAAGATGGGACAGGACACAGAATACATTTTGGGGTCTTTATTCCCTGGCTGAGTTCCTCGGAGAACAGTATTAACAATTCAAGTTTTTATGTTCAAAATAGGATGTAAGGCAACAAATCAATTGCTGTTTGCCTCAAACCTCAGTTAGACTACCAACAGGTTCTATATGAACAAATTAACCTAAACAGACAATGTGAATTTAACGGCTCATTTATACCTGATAGCTGCACTGAAATGGTGTGTGCTTTGTATAGAAACAACAATACAGACAGCAACTAAGTTTCACACACGAGAAATATTTCAAGTTTCATAACTACATAGTTCTTGTTATGGAACACAAGACAACAGCAAATATTCCAAAGCACCAGTAGCCTCTCTGAGTCATATATGGCATGCCCACTAATGTACACCAGTGGCACTCCACACTGCTTTATTCACAGATGTGTAAACAAAGCTGGATATATTGTTGGAAGCAGGGCCTCGCTCATTCCTATAAAAGTTTGCGCAGTGGTGCATGAAGCCAAAAAAGTTCAACATGATGGGGGCCACAAATGCACTGTAGAGACTTTTGCTGGTTGAGTGGTGAACTTCTGATTTAGCCCTCCACTGACTTGAATGGAGAAGAAATTATTAAATCACGCAGCTCTTCTAGAAATTCAAAATGCTATCGGACCAAATGGATTAAATCCTGATAGTGAAACGAGTCATCTTCTGGCGGTTGTGATGCTCAAGAAAGATGTCTTCACTGATTAACAGACGTCTCTTTTCCCAATGTATGTCTATGGGAAAAGTCTTATTTGGCCGGATGGCATCACGTGACGAGCCTGGAAGTTGTACTTATATGGTTTTGCCACTATATCAAATTGGCTTTGAAGCCCAGCGCAGTTCCTGGGGGGGTTTGGCTTTATGTTCCCGGCCATCCCACTATTTAGCACCACACCCTGCACAACTGCAGAGATCTCAAACTACACACTACACACACGCGTCACAAATTAAAACTCTGGCTGTGTTTTTCTTCCCTGTGCCAGCTGCTGTTCTTGTACTGCAACATCATTGTGCATGATGTCATATAAATGTCAAACCATGCTGTGCAGATTTGTCTTTTCGTAACTGATTAAGGCACGTAGCGCAAGAGATGAACCATCTCTTGAGTAGCACCCAAAGCCTGCCTGACCGCCTCCAACCAGGTAGCGGTGACATGTTGCCAACCCCAGACAACAACAGACAGCCCTTTTTTGCCCCCTGAAACAAACGTGATGCGAGACTCAGCTCACATCATCTGTGCAGGAGACCAGAGAAAAAGGCTTTTTCAAAAGTCTGTGTGTTCAGCTCTCAGTGCTTTTGTAGCTTTTAAGTGAATCTCTGTGGTCTCGAGTTTAGTTTCTCCTCTGGGTTCCTGTTTTTATTACTTTACTGTTTCATGCTCACTTTTAGCCGTATGAATTGTGTTAAGTTAGGCTACTGCTGATGAAAACTCAACATTTCCTTCTTCTGCTGCTTCACAATAAAAACTTTTGCAAAACTAAATAATGGGGGGCTTTTATTGTGAAGAATGTAAAGGAAATTAAATGTGTTTAGCACCAAATATAGCGAAACTTTGTTAGCAGCTTTTCTTACAATAAAAACAAGCCAGGGAGGAAGAGAAAGCAGAAACAGCCACAGTGAGATGTTGATGAAGAGCTGCGGACAAAAAGGCTCTTACTGCACCTCTGCAAACAGCTCACCTCCGACAGGTAAACCTCTTTTACTTGCTGTGTGATTGAAAAATAATGTAGATCAGCCTGTCACCTTGAAACGTCATCTCTCAAGACAAGCCGTCATTAGTTAAAGACACATCTTCAAGCGGGTAGTCCTGTTGTAATGGAGACGCAAATCCCTGCCACACTAGGCTGATGTGCCGAGTCAAACCAAACCAAGCCAAGCCATCCTGTGAGTGTAAAATGGTTTAACTGTCTTTGTATTTCCTGGTTACATTTATTACTTGTCTGTGTGTGCTCTTTGGAGCAGAAGGCAGAAATCCCTGTTTAAAAATGAAATAATTTTCTTCTCATAAGACTGATCAAATGGATGATTATGAATAATTAATTTATCTTAATTGTTTTCCTGTCTTTAAAAAAGTATTTCACTGCTGGACAGATGGTCTTTTCATATAACTGGGCTTTCTATGCAGTAGAGAGATACAAAGGCTTTGGAAATTAATGCTTCATGACCAGAGAGACAGATGAAAATGACTTTTCTCCAGTGGTAGAAAACCTACAACTACCAGCACTGCTTTTTTTTACTATTTAATCTCAGTTTATTAAGCCTCCATTTTTACAGTACAGGAAGAATATGTTTTCCCTGAACATAATCCAGGCAGCGACTTCGTTGTCACCACAACCTTATTATGAATGCAATGTAGTAATATACAAATGTAATATCTAGGAGACAGGGTTGCTCCTAATTAGTAGGAGATAAAGTTGCTGCACTGTCCATTGAATTGTAAATGATACAAGTAGAGATGTCCTAATAATGTTTTTTAAAGACATTTCAGTTAAGGATGAAGTGCTGAAATGTCTAAAGCGTTGGTATATAAGTGGTGACAGCAGTTAAAATGTAAACTGAAACTGAATATGTGTTTAAAAATGATCTGACCTGTCGATTAGAAAGTAAAGAATTAGTGTATAAAGGGTTTTTTGGGGGGGGGGGGAGTTTTTCCTTATCCGCTGTGAGGGTCCAAAGGAAAAACATAACTCGTATGTTATGTGCACACTGGAAAAGTCCCTGGTCTCTCTTTATTCCTCCTCTCCATACTGGCAGCGAAACAATCCCTTCCTTGAGGGACAACCTACAGACAAGTCCCCGGAGAATGCACTAATCCTCTTCCTGGTAGTCGTGTGTAGGTTTATTGTCACGCCAAAAAACCCACATGCGACTTTCAGGACTTGGCCCAGCAAGAAAACGCTGTCCAAGGAAAAACAAGGAGGTAATTTTGTACTTAAATGCATAACACTGAAAGACATAGACTTTATTTAATTTAATCAGAGTGCTGAATGCTTTTTTGCACTGAATGTGGAGGACTGGATAATGTGCCCTGTCTCTTTTACATTCGAGTCACATTGGGAAGGTCAGGGTTTTAGAAATGTTAGCAATGTTAAAAGTCTTCCAGCAGAACCCATACACCTGAAAATGAATTAAATTGCTGCTAACAAAACAACCACATACATTTTTCTGATTATTTAGGCTTATGAATCAAAAAGAAAATCATCTTCATCATTAATTCAACTATGTAAAATATATTAAAGTAAATTTTACTTCCCAACATTATTTCAAAGTCTTATCTACACTGGCAGATATTTAAAGGAGCTCTATACAACATTTAGAGCATGTCTATGATTCAGAGTCTGGACGCGCACACAGTTCTCAACGTAGAGGTGGTTGAGCTGGCAGCTAGCAGGTAACGGTGCTACAAGCTAATGCTGCTTACGGCTCAAACAATGGCAACAGTGCTGACAGAGCTTACAGGAGGGTGGGCTTTATGCTTCCACTATGATGCTAACTGCTGTATGAGCACAGTGCAGAACAGTTACCTAAGCAGCAAGATTCGCACACAGAAACTTACATGCATGTGAGGCCTCTCAACAACAAAGAGCAGAGAAGCTCAGATTAGAGTGCACAGAGGGAGCGTGATTTCATTCTCTGTTCAGGACACTATATCTTTACATAGCAAAAAGCTGTTTGCTGCCATATTGATGTTCTGAAAATTGTATAGAGCTCCTTTAAATCTTGTGGAGAACAAAACATTTATTCCACTCAAATGTATACAGTTTAAAAAGAAATGTTAAACCTGTCAGATTGTTTGAGTTTTATTCAAAAATGTATGTGCATACTCTCAATATTAGAATCAGCCTTAAAACCTCCACAATATGTGTATAAACTGTATAAATTCCTTTCATGTCATCAACCACCTAAAGATATATTACAGACAACATGACCTTAATGGTATCTGCAGCCCTGGCTTCATGGCCACTATAGACAGGAGAAATAACAACAGTGACTAAAGGCTCCTCCAACATATAGCACATTCAGTATGACGTGATTATTTTATTTAAAGGTCCAATGTGTGGGATTTAAGGGGATATATTGTTATCTACATAGGGAGCGGGTCCTCGTCTATGGAGATCACCATGTTGTGACACCATGTTTCTACAGTAGCTCAGAATAGACAACCCAAACACTGACTCTAGATAGGGTCATTAACATTTTTTGCACCAGCCACGATATTTCGTAGCCCTTCTGCAACAGGAGCATTGGTAGAATGCTGATTCCTTGAACACGAAACTGCTTTATTCCGTTTTTGTTTTTTTGTTTTTTTTTTTAACCAGTTACATCATCAGGTCTGTTTGTTTTGGACAAGGAGAGACCTCTGTGGAAAATTCAGCTCCTGGTCAACTCGGTCTCATTCCAAAGTCATCGAATACAGTTGTTTGGGCAGTGACTTCTGGCATCAGACACCAACAAAAAAATATCCTTTTAACATTGGTATGATACGTTATTGTGTAATGGCGCCTGGCTGCGTGTTAGAAAACTAACACATTCTCACTCTGACCATGTCACATGTTGACATTTTGGTCATGGACTTTCCACGTCCACATGGGACATGCAAGGTACCCTGAGTGCGTTAGTTGTTGATGTTCTGGGACACCGTGTCAAGTTCTCTTCTTTAAGATACACTTTCGTTTAATTTTAAGTTTACATACAGTCTCTTTCAAAATAAATGCACTACATCAGTACAACACAGCTAATTGATGTCTTTTTCCTTCAACAACAAGCACACACGGTTGGGTTCAGGCAACAAAATCTTTGGCTTTAGAATCTTACGGGACACCAACACCACTCTCTCGGGTGAAAGTCGGTGTTTGCTGGACCCATCCACCACACCTCCCACCCAACCCACTCAGACTTGCCCCGCCTTAACTTTCGTCCTTGTCCTGCTGCATTTCCCCATGATGCCACTGGGCGTCGTTAAACTATAACATCAACTGGCCGTGTATCATGCCGACTTTAAAGGATGCCTTTTTTGTTGGTTTCTGATGCCGCAAGTCACTGCCTAAGTGCCGAATTTCGATGATTTCAGAGTGTGACCAGGCTCAGAAAACACAGTGGGACAACAACATCAGTTGAGGGGGCGAAAGTCTGACTAGAGTGGGTGGGAGGGGTGGTGGATGGGTCCAATAACCATAGACTTTCACCCAGGAGGCTGGTGTTTGCATTCCATATGGTAACAAAGCCAAACCCTGTTCTTTTGTTGCCTAAACCTAACCACGTGCGTTTGTTGTTGAGGGCAAAAAACATAATCAAATATCAAACAGCGGTGTTGTACCAACGTAGTGTGTTTATTTTAAAAGAGACTGTATATACCGTGAACCTTTCTCAATTATGGGATCAATAAAGGTGTATCTTATCTTATCTTATATAAACTGTACGTTTCTTATGAAAACGGAAGTGTATTTTAAAATCATATGCATGGTGTCCCTGGCGTCCCAGAACATCAACAACCAATGCACCCAGGGAAAATTGCATGTCATATGTTGATGTGGAAAATCCATGACCACACACTAATATGCGATGAGGTCAGAGTGAGAATGTGTTGTCCTAGAAAGAACATCTGGATTAAGGATAAATGAGCACACATTAAGTTATCAGGGAAAATAAGTGAGCACACATTAGTAGGTGCTGGGCTAACAGATTGTAGCATCAGAGAAACACTGGTTTGTAACATGAAACTGCTTTATTCAGTGTTTTTACCAGTTTTAATCATTCATCGTTTGTTTTGGAGAGGAAGAGACCTCTGCAGATAATTTGGCTCCCAATAAAACCTCCAGACCAAAGAACACTGAAGGAAATCTAACCTGGAGAAGTTTCAGCTGGCTGCAATCTGCAGCCCTCACTGCTAGATGCCACTAAATCCCCCTGAATCATAAACACTGTTCCTTCAAATAGACTTGAACCATCTGTGGAACAGGATTTAGGTAAAAAGGCTAAGCAAAAAATTAAATACTGCACATTTTTCTTTATCTTGTGTGTGGACTCACGTGGTTTCTTGGTGGTGATGTTAAAAGCAGAGCTGCACGGTCCAAGTCCAGCGCTGTTTTGGGCTCTGACTGAGATCAGATAGACTGTGCTGCCCTTCAAGCCAGAGAGCAGAGCCGTGGTGTCGATAACCCTCACTGTCTCCGCTTCACTCTGCAGAGATCCCTTCTCCCAAACGAGAACCTGGACCAAAGATATGAGGGTTACCACAGACCTCCAGCTATGTTTTCTACCTTTGCCTTTTTCCATTTTTAAACCGTTTACAAATCAAGTCAAACCTTTTTTATTCTGCCAATTTCCTGCTGAGAGTGTCAACATGTGCTTATGAGGGAGAGTACTGCTGACTACAATTCTTGAGTGCATAAAGGTAGTCAAAAACTGGCTTAAGGATTGTGACGAGGAAGAAGTCCACACAAAGGTTATACAACAGTCAATTATTAAAACTAAAGAAACTGGGGGTTGTCTTGGTTTAAGTCTTTAATATGCTGAAACTGTGGGTCTATGACCTAACTTAAAACGAGAAGGAAAAAAAACATTTTATCAGCTTAGCTACTGTAGGTCCTGAGGCAGTCCAACCCATATTTTTTAACTACCAAGTGAACCTGTATCCGACAATCAGCAATACCAGAAGCAGGACTGGGAGTGAGGAGTACAAGGATAAGGAGCTTGTCAGAATCTGTATTCATAGGGAGATCATTTATGACCCTAATACGAGACAGGAAAACCAGACAGGAAAATGTCAAACAGATGGTTTGAGAGTAGATACTTATTCAATTGGCTGCACACAGGTTTCCAGGAATCTTGCTTGGGAAAGGCAGATTAGCAACAGGGCCTGGAGTTGCTGATAACAGATGCATCTAGGGTGTTTTTTTTTTTTTTAATTATAGCAGTTTTACCGACACTTGGGAAAATACCTAAAATACCTGAGAGAAAGAAGTTGAGAGTTTTTTTTCTTACAGCATTGCTGCTAAGAAACTCAACACACACTCAAGGAGGGATGAAAGAGAGGGATCTAAGGAGCCTTAAGCTGTCTTGCTGCATCTTAAAGTCTTATTGAGACAGTGGCAGGAAAGTGCATCATAGCAGCGGTATTTGAACAATACCAATGTTTGTGTGTGAGAAATACAGATATTGAAATATTATTTTTACAAAGCTGGCCTCAATGTTTGTATTAAGGCCTGGTGGATGAAAGTTTAGAAGAGAATGGGTGATTTAGCCTATAGTATCAAACTTTTTCTGTGAAGGGCTTCATTTTCTGATGCTGTGCATACTAAAAAACAACTGAAACAAAAAAACATACACTATTAGAGTGCAGATCTCCACCAGGTGTGTCTTAGGGCATTTGACAGTTGAACAGGAAGTGCATGGCAGGCTGTGTGTCCAGCATGTATGCATGATAGTAGTGGAATAAAGGGGAAACAATATGCAGGTTACATCATCAAGGTTTAACCAGAGTAGACGGGTTATATGAAGACAAACCTTGGACACAATGTCCAATAAAACCCCTTCTTACCTCCCTCTCCCCTCCCAAACAGAAGAGTTGAATCTCACTCAAATGTCCCTCCCAACTCCCTTACGCAAATTTGTGTTTCCTAGGATAGCAAAGGCACGACGCACCCTACTTCCCCTCTGCTTGGGTAGTACTTGATACCTTCGTTGGTTGGATTGGTTAGGTTTAGGGTAAGAATGGTAGGGTAAGCCAAGGCAGAGTAGGGCAGGCTATGCCTTCGCTATCCTAGGAAACACAAACTTGCCTCCTTTACAGTCAAGATGGTGGCAAAGAATACGAGAAGAGGGATTTATTCATCTCGTATCACACCTAACTTCAGCGGATAATAACAAATCTGCTATGGAATTAATCTACAAATGTTCCATTTCAAAATAAAATCAACCTTTTCTATAGATGTCATTTTTTGAACCACAATGAAAGCCAAAATGTGGCCTGTAAAAGACTGAGCAATGCTTGTTGTCCTTAGCCGAGCTAATTTTTGCATTTTTGCATTTTGCAAGCTTGCAGCCCCTTTCAGCAGGTTAAGACAAGTGGGGAGTCAGCAGTTAATGAGGGTATAAAACAGAGCCGTAAATAAACTAGATTTTTTTTAAAGATTGTAAATCACAGCAACCACGTGAGGTCCTTGAGCATGCAGTCATAAATATGCACAAAAATATTAGGCTTATGGGTCCAGTAGTATGTGAGATTAGCTGCAGACAGACAGACATTTACACACACACACACACACACACACACACACTCACTCACTCAACGCATGATTCCCTCCATGTTTCCGCCTGGTGGAGATAATAAAGATTACAGAAACACAAACAGAAATGATTAGGTCTGAATTTTGCACTGGATTATCCTGCCAATTAACCTGCTGTCAGCAGAGTTCACCAAATTATCCACATGACAGCTGAAGGTACCAAGTATATAGTGCTTATGAAGTCAAAACCTACACAATAACTTAAGGAGTTCTTTGGTGTAGAAAAAAAAACAGTGGTTCTGTTGTTTCCCCTTCTGATTCTTATACAGTGGCAACCACATAGTGATCACGGTGATATCTGCTTATATGGATCAAAAAGCTTGGGACAAATCATATATATATATATATTTATAATTTCTACTTTACTCCCATGATTCTTTACTTCACAGTAACAAGTCTGCTTGCAGTTGGCTACCTGGGGCTGGTGCGGTGTGCACATTGAAATCCTGACAGGGAAAGGAAGAGTAATTTTCTCTCAGTGGAAAACATAACATTTGTCTCCTCTAAGCTTATGACTGCTGGTCATGGCTGCTAGTGATGGAGACAGAAAACAAATGTGCACAGGAAAAGCACCTGTGGTCCAAGCTACCCTCATCAAGTGGATGGATAATGCCAGGTCACTCAGTGCCCCCTTGAGTGAGCCCTTTAAAGGCAGAAGAATTGGCAGCAAGCCTGGGAGACCACAATTTTAAAGTTTCCATAGGCTGGTTTGAACGATTTAAAGAGAGAACATTGTGTTTAAGAAACTGCACAGGGAGAATGCTGAGGCTGACACAGTGAATGGCTAAAAGTAAATAGTATTGTATTGTACTGTAAATGTGTTATAAAGGAAAGTGAACATTTTCTAAACCCCTTTCTCAGGCTTGTCAGGGTTTGGATTTCTCTACATGCAGATGTGGTATGCATGGAGCTGCAGTAAAGTGATAGTTTGCACTCAGAGTTTCAAAACTTGTGTCTATTTCTAGCCTTTTTCAAACTGAGAAATACAAGAGTCAAAGTGTAAAGAACAGATAAAACAGGGGTTCAATCAGCTCAAATGAAAACCATTGACATTGCATGCCTGTTATTCATGGTATAAATCTGGTGTTACCTCCAACACCCAGAGCTAGCACCTCATTTGTTAATAAACTACAACATCTTGTGGCCTAACAGGTTTATGTGAGCAGCTCTTTCCTGCTCTGTAAGTTTACATATTTGATTTGAGGAAGGTAACAACTTTGCAAAACTAATTAGGTTGTTCTTCGGCTCAAATCCTTTTCTCATGTAAAAGTGAATCAGTCATCTTAATAACGCAAATAATAAAGCAACTAATCTAACTTTACTTTTTGTGCTTTTACTCTGAAAAGTTGCTGTTAAAATGAATAATATGGATGTTACTTTTTTTAATTTTTCTATTTTCCTATAACAAAGTAGGTAGAATACCTGCGCTAACTAGCTGCCCTGTGTGCCCTACAAGAACAATGCTGCTTCTTTATTTCCCTGTCTTCTATAAATCATGGTGACCATGCTTATTTTTGAAGCTTTTAAGGGTTTCTCATTTTCATATGAGTCAGATGAATACATTTAAATGTAGTAAAATCTGCCAGGGACAGTTGTAATTTCATCAAAAAAGAGAGTCACGAGCTAAAAAATCAAAAGCCTACTTTTGTCTACTGTTGACTGAAATCAAGGACCCTTTTGTTTCAAAAATGATCACACATTTTTAGTGGTAAACATGCCACTGTAATCACTGCACACTGTGCAGTGGTAGAATGGAAAGCTTGAAGTGGAGCAACAGTACCTGAGGGATACAGGGCTAAGTGAACTCGAAGTTGAGGAGGGATGTTTCAGTAACGTTTAAAGCTGTAATTTGAAAGTTCTATAAAAAGTAATATGCTGACACTGCCAGTTCATGAGCAGCGATTGACATGATTAACCGCAAACGAGACTCCTTAGCTGTACTTGGTTGTTTTTGGTGTGCCATAGTGGATTCTACTGAGTGCTTTTAGACGCAGAATGAAGAAGAGGAGGGAGATTTTTTCAGACCATCTGCTCCATGTAGTTCTGTCGGAAAATAGTGACAGTTTCAGCAAATGTGACAAAGTTACCGACTGTAGCTTTAAACCATTTCTGTCCAAGTCAGAGACAAGGCTGGATTACCATCCAGGCAAAATGGGTGACTGCCCAGGAACCCTATACCCCTAGGGGCCCTAAACGCTGAGGCATTGTCAACCAAGTTTTTTGGCAAGTGCAAGTTTGTTTGAGAATTTTCACACTATAATATAATATCTCACTATGGTGGGCCTGTCCTGCAGAGGGGGGCTGTCAAAATCTAGTTTTAAAGCTGTATTATTTTAGTTTACATTGCGTTCACATGGTGCATACTCCAAAATAAAGTTGTGATTCATATTACTACATTAAAGTGACACACAGAAAACCTAGGGCCATGCAGTGATCTTCCTACATTTTAGGGCTGGTTGGTGTCTGGGCAAATAATGAAGCTGCAGTGAGTAGACTACTAAATCTGATAGTTTTGGATAAAGCAGGACGCTTTTGCCCTGGGGCGCTCTAACAGGTTGATCCTGCCATGGTCAGTGACTTTTATAGTGGTATATAGTTCTAATGGTGAGGTAGACAGCTTCAAAAGTTTGTTGTTCAAAGTGTTGTTAGGTTGAATTTGCTGAGGTTTTTTTATTTACCTTCTCAGTCTGTTAGCACTTGAAGCTGTATTTAGGTCTTGTGCATTCAGTCAGTGAAGTCGTATCCAAGTGCTCCTGCTATTTTTGTTCATAAAGGCGAAGCAGTGCTATGAGCCAAAAGGGTTGAAGTGGGAGATGAATTGACGGGTTGGTGATGGTCATTATCCTCTCAGCCAGTCACATTACATCTCTCATACTTTTCAAACAGCTGGTCCAATCAAAGCAGCCTATCGCAACAATGCTG